ATGAGGATGTTGAGGTTCTCTTTAGGAGTGACCAGGATGGACAGGATTAGGAATGAGCACATCAGAGGGACAGCTCAGGTCGGCTGTTTTGGGGACAAGGTCAGAGAGGCCAGATTGAGATGGTTTGGACATGTGCAGAGGAGGGATAGTGGTTATATTGGTAGAAGGATGTTGGAGATGGAGCTGCCAGGCAAGAGGTCAAGAGGAAGGCCAAAGAGGAGATATATGGATGTGCTAAAAGAGGACATGAAGTTAACTGGTGTGAGAGTAGAGGATGCCGAGGATAGAGTTAGGTGGAAACAGATGATTCGCTGTGACGGCCCCTAACGGGAACAGCCGAAAGAAGAAGAAGAAGATCCGGTAGCACACATCCAGGTGAAAGTAATCACCCAAAGATGATGGTGCCTGTTTTTCACCAAACAAAGATGGCGGCACCCAGCGGTTACCTGGATGGGAGACGGGAGCGGCAACATGTTAAAAACAGGTTAAACCCATTTTATCATGTAGCAGTTTTTTTTTTATCCGAAATGTTATGAGAGGTTTTGGGGATCCTGGAAATACGATTTGCAGGATTGCAGAGTAGTGGTAAATGGTTTAATCGATTTAGATTTGTCAAGCATTTGTGGTTAATTACAAGAAAAGACCGTGCGCATGTGACATTACAGGACATTTTAAATGATTAAAATGGCTGAAAATTGCTAATACGGTTTTAGTATTTAGTAGGAAGTCATATGTCTGTGCATCAATGTTTAAATGGCCAGGCACCAGACCAGTTTTAGCCTCATGCTTCAGTTTTACACTTCACTTTGCTGCTTGTGGTTTGTTTTGTATCCTCTGATTTTGAAGAGCAGCACAAACCGTAGCCTCCACAGTGATCACCCAGCTGAATCAGCACCTCTTTGAAACAGTCTGAACACAAACTGAACATTATCACCTTCACTGCAGGACTGTTGGATTAGACTGAGCTGGCTGTTCCTAATAAACTGGCAACTGAATGTATAATTTACACGTTTGCTGAAGGTGCACTATTGGGTGTGCACAGTTATTTGCACACTTCACTTGTATGTACAGCCAGATGTTTAGAGCCATCTAGTGGTGACACATGCCAGATGTTTAGAGCCATCTAGTGGTGACACATGCTGCTGCAGCACATATGTGGAGTCAGTGGGATCATGTTTCTGCATTTAAAGTGACTCCACCATGTGGTTGTATGTAAATATACATCATTTTGTAGCCTCATCAAGTGTGTCAGATTATAAACAACAGTAGCGATCATTAGTCGCAGCCCTTGTATATGAGATGGTCTCATGTTTTGTATGTAAAGTCTAAATCTGTAACTAACTACAACTATCGAATAATGAGGTGCATTTCACTCTGAAATAAAGTAGAATCATTAAGTAGCATAAAATACAGCACAGAAATACTGAAATCAAATTCAAGTATCTCAGAATTGTTCTTAGGTTTTGGTACTGACTTAAATGTACGTAGTTACTTTCCACCACCAAGCCTCAGACAATGGATACTGCACAGACTCAGTCACACTCTACACACAGTTACTCCACATACACGCAGCTCCCAACCACTACCAACACACACACACACACACACACAGGCTCCAGCAGTGTCAGATACCCAGTACTTGGCTTGTACACACACTTTGTTGGTGTTTAGTTGTTGCACTTTGCTTTACTAATCATATGCAGAACACTGTTAAACCAGTGTTGTTTATAGCATTTTGTACTTTCTTCCAATGCTTTGACATTAGACAATACTGGGGTAGTTTCTCTTTGGGCATCTTGTCTTCATCAGTCACATCAGGTAAGACAGTCCTTTATAACACAGATTTTTACAACAGTATTGTGACATCATTTGCCTGCTTGTGTTTGACACTTGAACGTTTGTTTTAATATTGGTTTGGTGCTGTAATCTGGCTGACTCATATTCTCATGTATTACAGTATCTTTACCCTCACATGGTGTGTTCTCTTTTGAACCTTCACATAAATTTGAATATAAAGTGAGCATAATTAGAGGTGTAGGGGTGGGGGGGACACGTTTGCAATGAGAAGGTGTCAGGATGGACTGAGGAGCAGTCAAAATGATTCAATTCCAACACACACCAGGGATGTCGAGATGCTCTTCCTTATTTAATTTGTGCGCATAAATACAAAATTGCGAGCAAGGTGTTTTGCATTGCCGCTTCCTCAGGCTTGTTCATTTCTTGCAGACTTGTAGTTTTGTGCATAAATGACATAAAGAAAATATCGACATCCCTGGTGTGTGTTGGAATTAGTATTTTTGTGACATTTGAGTCCTGCCTCAACACCCAGTTTGGATGGATGATGTTTTAACCTGTCGACCATATTTACATGAGTTTGTGCCCTTAGTCTCCAACCTCATAGCAGATGTGCAAAGTGGCATGCTTTGAAAACCTGTAGTGTAAAAAACCAAAATCTGTACATGCTATTTGGATTCATTTAGTCTTTTCTCACAGAGATTGTTTCATTGACGGCGCTGCACCGGAATCCAAACGTCAACATTTAGCCCAAGTCCTAAAACAGGTTACTTTGTGTTACTGACTAAATTAACTGTAATTTAGGAAAACAGATGGTGTTCACCCGCATTTTATTACTCTGGTGTTTTATGTATGCGTGTTTTGATATTTGACTTGTCTTTCTGTATATCACAAAATACATCAAGCCAGAGGGCAATAATCCAGCAACACAACATGGAAGTTCCATCTTTTGATCTGTGGTGTGGGTGAAGAAATGAGCAGAGCTGTTGGACCAGACAGTGGGGAAGTAACCTCGTCTCTCAGACAGTGATTCAGTTTTACCTCAGAGGGTATTTGGCAAAACAAGGTAGTAGCATATACAGTAGGTAGTAGGTAGGGCCAGGGTTGACCTTATGGTAAATGCAAACATGGAGCGAAGGGTTCACTTCCTCCAAATCACACCTTGGACCGATGTGCCTCCTGATGCCCTTTTTTCTAATTAACTGGTCTTGAAAATGTTCATTGACACTATTTGCTTGTCATTAGTGTGTGTGGTTGTATCTATGAGTGTGTGCAGGACTGTACTCGTGACTGTCCTTCACAGTTGGTGATCAGGCTTCAGGGACTAGTAAGTGATCAGAAATGACATCTATTGATCAGACTATAAAACTCCCCCACATCAGCTTCAGAAAGAGAAACCTCTGTCATGATTGCAGAGGAATATTCAGTGATCAGTACAGAGAAGATGTCTGGATGTTGCTGCCACTGGACATTTGGACAACACTGGTTTTTGTTTTGTGGCAGCACAAACCTAAAATCAGTCTCCTGTTTCTACAGACATCTCTTTATCCTCTGAATCTTACCGTGGGATTTCTTTCCTAATGAAAGTCCATGGAATGACTGTGAGTGCCAAGTCCATCAGAAGCTTGGTGGGAGTGGTGGGAGTTTTTCTCTCTTTCTGTTTGGGCTCCTTGTTTCAGCTGCAGCCTTGTCCTAAAGGCCTGCTGGGCTTTTCCATTGAGTTTTCCTTTTGTCATCCATTGATCTGATGAGGTTGCAGTGACACATGTTTTGCCATGTAGGCTGGCAGCTGTAAGGCCAGGAGGATTCCCTAAGCAGAGAAATCTGTACAAACAGAGAAGTGTGATGTCTTATGATTTATCTCAGGCGTCTGTATCAAGAGTTCTGCTGACAGGGAGTCGACGAGCATCGTCTCTCTCTCTCTCTCTCTCTCTCTCCCTGCCGTCCATATTCACCCAGTAAACCTCTTCATTTCTGTTTCAGGATGGATCATCATGACTGGCAGCGAGGGAGAAGTAGAGGTCACAGGTGCTATGATGATCATGATGGTGAGGAAAAACCAGTAACCTTGCAAACAAGGCTGGACAAAGTGGGCAAGTGCTCTGGAGCCACTAAAAGCCCTGGGTCAGCTGTGGTTTGTGGTGCAGGGATGCAATTAATTGGAAAATTGAAGCATGCGCTACTAAAGCACAGAAGCAAAAGAGAAAGTTGCTGTCATGAAATGTTTGCTGGTTTACACACACACAGCAAACAGAACAACATCAGCATTAACTTGAAATTGTGCTTGGGTCTCTCCTGTGAAAAGAGTTTGGCTCTTTAGCTCCTAAACGTTTGTCAGCTGTTTGGTGCTGGCCAACGTTAAGGCCATTTAACAACATGAATAAAAACACCACATAACTACACTGTGTGTGTGTGCTTCTGTTACACTTAATCTTCGATACTCAACACTCCATAAGCTGGCACTGTATTGATCAGGCTCTTATGTTCTCTCCCAGAAGCCCAGCCAGTCTACATCGATGTTCCAATTTCCTACAGACGGAAAAGACGCAGACATCACTCCTATGTTAGTGACGTCGACGGTAACACACAAGACACACACTATGACCACCGCACACACCGTGAGCACTCGCTCCAGGGATATTACCACAACAGGGAGGAGCACTGCGATGACAACGACGGGAGTACAGAGCGTCATGAGTACGCCGACCCCACAGGTTAGAAACGACATGTCCAATGCTTTGCCTTGTCCTCGTCTACAAATTTTCTAAAGCTACCTTCCAAGTTCAAAGTGCTTTTCCAATAAAAGACTTAAGACAGAAAAGGGCAGTTTGGTAACAACTGAATAAAAACTAAACAAAAAAGTAGAATAACTATGACACAATGACAAAAGGGAAAAAAGGGTTAAGAAAAATTATATAATAATAATAAAATGATAATATAAAATAAAAAATAACATTAATGATACCAAGAAGGAATAATACAGCACCATAATAATATACAATAAATAATGACAGTCTAATAAATGTTCCGTTGTAGTGAAAACAGCACAGCTAAAGCTATTGTACATGTGGTAGTGAGAGGCATACGGCCAGGCTGAACCTGTGCTCTTTGGCCGATTAGCCACAGGTTTGCCTGTACTAAGAGTGTGACATGGTACAGGAGTTACTGGTGTATGCAATGAATATTTTACAGTGTGGTCCCTGTTCCCAAGGGACCACAAAGTCTGAATCCTATAAGCTGATTAGAGCTGAGGAACTCCAAGCTCAGTGTGTGTGTGCACACATTTGGGGTGACTGTTTTTATTCTCACCTGTTTTAGTCAGGATTCAAACCAGATTTGTACACCTGAGGTTGGTAGTTAGACACTGATGAAGCACCGTCGGGGTCATTGGAGCAGTAGAGGTCACGATGGTGAGGGTGTTTGCATTTCTTTTGTGTGTGTGTGTGTGTGCATGGACATCTGGGAAAAGAGCACTACAGCGCCCTGTGATGTGTGTCAACACTCTTAAAGCCTCTGGCTCTTTGCTGCTTTGGAGTTCTCAGTGGATTTCTGCCGTAGCTTAGACCTTTTCCAACTGATTGAGCATCACGGGTCTGAACGCTTAGACCAGCTACTCACCAAATCCTACATCGCTATTTGAAATAACAGAGCTGGCTGTGGAATAAAACTGAGAGAAGAGGGTGTTAAAGCAGCAGAACAGAGACAGGAGGAGCAGGAGGAGTGAAAGTGTGTCACCTCTCCCCACTCACGGTGGAGAGTAAGGTGTGGTGAACCGAGGACTCTTAAAACTCAACCAGAGCACAGGGGGCCAGAGGGCTTTTTTTCTCAGCCCATAGGAGACCTGAGGATTCCTCTCTCCACTTGGCTTCGGCTCTTACTGTCTCTAGTCCAAGGATCCTGTGAGCGTGCACGACCCTGGAGCCTCTTTTCCCTCGATTATGGCCTCCTGCGGGACCCTACCTGGCTCCCACACAGGTAAAGATGGCATAAGAGAAAAAAGGGAAAAGTCTGAAGAAGCAGGGTAGATTCATGTGGTATTGTAGCAAAATGGAAGCAAGGGACACTACATACTTATTCAATTTAGTTCCAGTGTCTCGGCTTTTGTTTTAATTTTCTTTGGTGGCACAAGAAGAGGATAGACAGTTTATCAATTAGTAAAGATCATAACCTTTCATTTATCTCCATATCTGTAGACTATTTAAAAGAAGCAGACATTTTGGTTGGTGAAAATAGTTTTCACGGCTGTTTGTGATTTCTAATTGTTTTAGGTCATGTCTGTCACCACGTCCCACAGTGAAACTCTAAACGAACATCAGGCCTTTGCTCATTACGCCTCATGAACATTTTCACTTTCTTTAGGAAGCCATACAGAAGCTACATGATGTTTCTTCCTTAGGCAGTTTCTGTGTAAAACTCCCCCACTGTATTGAAAGTCCCTTCTTTGATTAGCTCACTAGATGCTAATGGCTAATTTTAGAGTATGCTAAGCTGTGAAGAAGCATGTTCCACCCATTACCTCTGCAGTTTATCTAGTTTACCACAGGCTTTCAGTCATTCTGATTTTCTACCCCACGTCTGCCTGCATCTCATGACGTCCATCAGAACCTCATCTATCCTGTGTCTGTCTGCAACTTGGTGCTAGTGGAGTTTATGGGGTTGGTAAAAGTGGAGTTTGCAGCGAAGAAAGCCAAACCAAGTGAGGAAAACTGCAAAGTCAGGAGCATATCTCTCACATTATGCACCCCCCTTGGAGCCAGTAAATAAAGTAAATAAAATATTGATTAGTGCAGGGTCATGTAATTTGCATGTGTAATGAAGATTTAAAGTACTAGAGGGGAGTGTACATTTGTAATTTACCTGTTGATCTCCCTCTGTGGGATTACATCGGCCGCTCAGAGACACCTGTAAGTACACAAACTGGGAACACACCTCCTAATGCGACGCTGTGGAGAGGGTAATGGAAACAGCAGCTGATTCCTGTGTGTTGGCTGCATTGTGTTATAATCGTGCACTGAGCTGTAATTAACACAGATCACATAACTGTTCTCTCCACATGTTGATTGAGACTGTGAACACTGCTGCATGAGGCTTGGGACACTCCCAGTCAGTCTGTTCATGTGTTATTGACTTCTCATGTTCTTTCTTTAGCTTTTGGAGGAACTAACTGACCAGGGACACCCATTTTCGTGCTGATAGACGCACACAAACTGGTTGGATGCAAAAAGGTAGCGCCTCCAGGCTTGGATGTTAATGGATATTGATCTGCTCAGAGTAAAATTAGAAAAAGGTGCCAGCTGATAGATTACACATTGCTATCAGATAGTCATTAGAGGACCCAACTCATTCGCTTGTTAACGAAGGGAAATGGGCATTATATAAATTAGACTAGACTCTTCTGACACCTGCTGATGAAAGCAAATCTCCAGTTGTTGGACTCGTGGTCGATAGCGCATTTTGTCTAATTTGTATGTTTGTTAATGTCATGGGCTTGTGTTCCACTGTAAAATATTTAATCCAAGCTCATAGAAATAATAATAAACCCAAATAAAACCCTAAAGCACTCTTGTAAAGCAGCAAAGATATTGAAAGTTTTGTTATTTTTAAAGCCTCACTAGTGGAGATATTAAGAGTCAAATTTACAGCCATGGTAGCAGCTCCCTGAGGCTTTGCTTTGGCCTCAGCGCTAACATCAGCATGCTGACATGCTCATAATGACAAAGGTATGTTAGCTTGCTTGTGCTTGCTGAGGCTTATAGGGATGTCGGTAGCTTCATTGGCGCTAAATGAAAAGTGACCGGGCCACCAAAGTTATTACAATTTAGGACGATACAGAAAAGACATGTCTGAACCAAACCAGGTGGGAAGCCATCCGATAGCTGAGACATTTCACTGTAAACTACAAATGTCCACCTCCTGATGGTGCCAGTGCAGAGGACAGGGGGTCCATGCCTGGGTGTTCCCTACCAAAGATTCTCACCACGAGGGAGTCAGTTTTAACAGCACCCCAGATATCTGATATTGGTAGGACTGAGTTCTAAAAATAATGAAAAGCAAAAGTGAGGAGTCATCTCCGGTGGACTGGTGTGCAGCTAAAGCAGTGGAGTTCCACACTCTCGATAGTACACGTTTGCCTTTAGTCATAAATGGTCAGGAAATTCAACAGGTGGAGAACTACAGATTGTTTGAAGGTTGCACTACGGTTCAAGTCTTGGATCCTGGATGTGCGGCTGTTTTACTGGCCTGGTGAAAACTTTCACCTGCTGTACAGTAAAACTGGAGGCTTGACAAGTCTTTACAGTTCTTTGGGGACCATGAATGTACAAAACTGCATGGCAGTCCATCCAGTAGTTAACATGCTTTTTGTAGCTGTCAGTTAGGTTTATGTTGGTTGCCTCTGACCTGGCTCAAATGTGGGTTTAATGGAAGCCGTTTGGTCTCTGTTTGTAGTGTCCCCTGCTGCAGAGCGGCTGCGCCACATACTGGGGGAGGATGACGGCACCCCAACTCCCACGATATTCACTGAGATGGACACACTACAGCACGAGGGGGGTGAACTGGAGTGGAAAGAGTCTGCGAGGTACACACATGCAAGTGTCAGAGCAGTCATTAGCATCCTGCTGGCTGGCACTTCTGAACCTGGACCCATCAATCGTTCTGTCTCTTGAAACAGTCTCATACAACACTTTATTTATTAAATCCCAGGGCCAAACCTTTCCCCCCTTCTCTGTAGGTGGGTGAAGTTTGAGGAGAAGGTGGAGGACGGAGGAGAAAGATGGAGCAAGCCTCATGTCTCCACATTGACCCTCCACAGCCTGCTTGAGCTCAGGAACTGTCTGCAGACAGGAAGCATTCTACTCGACCTGGAGGGCTACTCGCTGCCACAGATTGTGGGTGAGTCCAGTAGAAAGTCACTATCTGGAACTACTGTGCATGTTTTTAAAGAAACAAATCAAACAAACGTCAAGTCTCTGTTGATTTGAAGTAGTGTACTAAACTCAGTGGAAACCAACTGGCTACCTACAAAGGAGGAAATCAGTCTTAAAATATATGCTTTTATATTGAAATGGTAAAAATATAGTTGTTTTCTAGTGAATGGTTTGATCCTGCAGACTCACCTTTATTCTCCCTTTAAATTCAGCTGTGCTGTAAACTTTGGCTCTAGATGAGATTGTAGGTCATCAGGTAGCAGACGGTCTCCTCCCTCCGGATCTGAAGGAGCAGATCAGCTTTGTGTTGCTCAGGAAGCACCGTCACCAGACCAAGAAGCCAATCCACCGCTCGCTGGCAGACATTGGAAAGTCGTCTAACACCGCTTCCAGTAAGTGTGTGTCCTGTCAGTAGGTGATTTTAACTATCAGTAATCACCAGCATAATCCAGCCTTCTAATTATGGCCTAATGCTTCCTTTGGTTTTCTCATCACCGCCTGTTGATGTCTTCTGCGCACATCACTTTTATGTCTGCTGCTGCTCTGTCAGCCCGTAGTCCTCGGGTTAATCTGAGTCGTAGTACTAGTTCAGCTTCTGGGATCCACCGCTCCACAGAAGACCTACGCTCTGGGCAGTCAAGCAGCCTAGGCTGCCTGTGTGAATCTGAACACACCACACAAACACACAAGCACCACAAGTTCTCACCTATTTTTATTACTCGTGGTGAAAAGTACATTTACTTAATTACTGTACTTAAGTACAGTTGTGTACTTTGGCTAATTTTATGCTATATACTTCTACTTCACTACATTTAACTGCTATAGTTACACTCCAGATTGATTTTAAGTTAAAAATTATGGCAAGTTTATAAAATATTAAGGATGAATCAATACCACAACTCGCAGTATGATATTGCCACACTAAAAGGTTCATGATCTGTCACGATATTAAAAAATGAAGAAAAAAGATTTACAAAATGCCCTTTACTAAACAATAATTCAGTATTTTGTATGATTTACCTTTTAAATTAAAGTGTTCCTGCTTTCCTTTTTTGTTAAATGAAAGTAGCCAGCCATGACCTAAAGATGCTTAAAAAGGCATGGAAAACAAAGCAGTGTAGCAGACAGTAGCAGTCCTTTTGTCAAATGAAATGATATATTGTTGCAGTAGCTGGATCTTGTAAACAGAACAAGTCATGCTCACAGTGAAACGTCAGTGTTTTAGTTCCCCCTAGGCAGGTTTAACTTTCTGAGCAAATTGCTGCTTTGTGCACCAGAATGAGGCAAAGAAGATGCCAAAACGCACTCGGAAAAGCCAAAGGTGAGATTTCAGCTTTACTGGGGTGTTTTAAAACATTGTGGTCTGCTTTTCAAGAGAAAAGACTCAGGGTGCTTACTATATGGATGGTTTTCCGTTTGTGCATTTGGTTTGTTTGCCGATCTCAGTTAAAGTGTTTAGCACAGGGGAAACCTGAGACACTGCCACACCGCAGCTTTAAAAGTCAACCATGGAGCGTCCACTATGTCCGTTTTAAATTCAGCGACCTGAACATGGTTATACCACTGATCTATCCTTATTTGGATATCTGGTAGATACTGTCATAGTCCTACGACAGTGTCAAGAAATGTTTCTATTGCAATATCTTGTTACATTCCTGTAAAATATCGTGCATTGTTAAAGATTAAACCGGCTATTCCGGACCTTTGTGGCTCCGGGACCCCTTGTCACTTTTCAAGCATCTGAGTTATTAGCCAAAGGACCTTTACCCACTAAACCTTTCAGATGGGTTCCTGTAAATAACTGATCAAGGCTCAGAGAAGTAAAATTTGTTCTTAAATTATTTTAGAGAACAGTACAAAAAATTAAAAGCTGATTTTCCTTCTTTCTCTTCCATTAATCATGTGGGAGAGATGTGTGTATCTTTACATTGTTGTATTGCTACTTTGACAGAAATAAATACCTTTTCCACTGCTAATACACGCTCAGTATTTGCAACAGTTTACTGATTTTACAGTGTAGGCTCTCACTTTCTGCTGCACTCTGTTTTTAATCCACACTGATCCCAGCTACCTCCTGGCTGCTGCATGATTTCGACACTTCAGATGCCTTTGTGTGTATATACTCACCATGCATACAGTGTGTTGGACAAAATGTGTGTTTACTTAAGAGATTTTAGTCCTATTGTTTGCACCTCTGTTAATTTCTTTTCTATCTGGGTGAAGGGGATTATGGGCTTTGTGTGGTATGTACTTGTTCTCTCTCTTTCTCTTTTTATTTGCTCCCAAATCTCCTTTGAGGCGCAAAGAGAAATTGAAATATAATCCTCCACAGAATGTTTAGAGCACACTGTGGACAATCTAATTAATTTAATTAACTACAGTTTTTTATACTGTACTGACCTATTGTCATGCAGATACCCTCTGTGATACGTCTCTTTTTTAAATTAGTGGCATGTTATGTCTTTTAAAAATCAAATCCTAAGTCTGCGGTTCATTTACAGATCGTGCTCAGAGCCGAAGCATGTCTGATATTTCAGACACACCAAGTCCAGACCAGGTAACTGTTGTCATCATCATCATGTTACTGTGTGTATGTGTGTGTGATTTTGTGTGTTCAGCTTGGAAATATTCTTACACCTCAAACATGTCAGCCAGCGCAGCAGCATGGTCACTGATGGCTCTTAATAGTTTGTGGACACAGTGGAGCTCTGTGGCTCAGAGGAAGGAGAGAGACCAGGCTGTAAACAGCAGACAGACGAGCTGGTAAGCACAGTGGAGCATTTAGCTGCTGAAGAACCAGATAGAGTGAATATCGAACTTGCATCAGGTTGATACAGACATTACTGAAGATTAATACAGATGTTGCTTCATAACTGCTTGATAATATCAGTTTTCTCAGCTGTTGTCTGCCCCCTAGTGGCCAGAAAAACCTATGGCAGGTTTAAACTCCAAATGTTTTCCCCTGAGACTTGAATACTTGATGTTATCTAGAAAAGGTTTGAACCTACTTTTTACCGTTCCCTTAAAGACATGGTTGTTAACACTGTGGTGCTGAATGTAGAAAGAAATCCAGCATATTTAGGAGGGCTACATCAGTGATGTACTTTCAAGCTGAGCACAGGTCAAAGCACAGTTTCCACTACTTTCCGACATTTATCATAATGCAACTAAATGGTGTCACTTCATTAAACCTCCCATCCCTAGTAAAAACCAACATGTTTAAAATTCTACACCCCAATTTTTAGCCCAGATGATGTAAATGTTTATCAGGTCATGCTGAGGCAGCCTTGGCGACATCACTGTGGCTTCTTGACTAAACCCCCGCAGAGCTGCTGCTTATGACGAGCAGTCTGTGAAACTGGTGGAGTTCCCCTTTAGTATTTGTTGGTTGTACATGTTCTGTTGTGATTAAACGTATATGCGGTTGCTGTGTGAGTTGTGGTTGATCTGTCATCAGCTGATCTCCTGTTGCCAATGTTATCAGCAGCTGACTGTTTCAGTTCGCGTTCTTTGCACACTTAACAAATGCCGTACAGTGACAGCTTCTCTGTGTGTGTGTTTGTGTGTGTGTGCTTTTTTGCATGTTTGTTTTTATGAAAAAGTTGAGCCTTGCTTTATGAGAGAGTAAACGGTTGTCAAACCTACTTAATTCCTCTAAGCCACAAAGCCTGGTAGCCAAGGTGGGAATTTAATGAGTTATGTTGTACTTGCATGTGTGTTTTTATTAGTGATTGTGTGCTTGTGTGCAGATCTCTAAGCTTCAACTGAGCTTAATTGAATCTTTTTCCAAAAAGTGTGACAGTGAAGAATATTACGGGTTCAGTCACTTGCTTTTTCTTTTGGTTTTTACAGCAACTTGAGGTTCTGTTTACTGGCATAGTAATTTGGTGCATGTGCTTGTTCTGCTAACTATCTTAACTAGAACTTCAAAGCAAGCAGTGAACTCAAACATGAGCCCAGAGTCACATCACAGCAGGCAATGTCTGCTGAAGCGATATAAAACTATGAAAATCAACTTGCAGTGTAGCTGCAGATGGTTAGATGATTCTTAAACCAGTGGGAGATTGACATGTCTTGTTTATGGTTGCTTAGGACCAGGACCTTGGGAGAGTGTGAAAGTGGACCAGTTGGTGAATTGACTCTGAAAGCAACATTAACAGATTATGAAGAGATTATAATTTTAGCAGCCACCACTCCACTACCACGTGTTTCCTTGGTTAGGAGGAGGAGGGGTGCACCAAAAGAGCTGGGTGACTCCACATAGTCAGCAGTTAATTCTGTGGAAAACAAGACCCAGAGTTTACAGGCATGACGGCAGCTCTGTCATTGTAAGATCAAGGTCTGCTAGTTTGTTTGTGACTCCCGGTAATCATATTGAAGTGACTATAAAAGTTGGAAGGAGAGTGACGTCATTATAAACGTCTTTGTTATCAAAAAGGGTTTTGCCTCTTGTGAGCATGTGTGTGGTTCAGTAGTATTGCTTAGTTTTTTGTTTGATTCAGACAGAAGGGTCAGTGTGTAAAGCCATTTGTGAGATTTATACCTCCTCCAGTGTTACTGCAGATCATACTGTGGGCTCCACACCAGATTTCATGACAACACGACCTATAGATGTGGAGATATTTCAGTCTGACCCAAAGTACCAGATCATTTGACCATTGAACATCACTTTCTGAAGCTTTGTAACAAGGCTAAGAGTCCACCGCCATGCTAGCGTCTCAGCTCAGGTCAGCTGTAAGTACCAGATCATTTGACCATTGAACACCACTTCGTGAAGCTTTGTAACAAGGCTAAGAGCCCACCGCCATGCTAGTGTGTCAGCTCAGGTCAGCTGCAGTCATTTCTACTCACACTTTCCCTCCTGCTGCTGCTTCCCATTTCTCCTTCCAGCTGAAAAATAAGTTCATGAAGAAGATTCCTCGTGATGCTGAAGCGTCTAACGTCCTGATCGGTGAGGTGGATTTTCTGGACAAACCCTTTGTCTCCTTTGTACGTTTGGCTCAGGCAACGACGCTGAGAGGCCTCACTGAGGTTCCTGTGCCGACCCGGTGGGTTTCTCTACTGTCTCCCTGTTTCTCTCTAGAGTTATGTGTTTTTGTTCTTATTAGTTCTTCTGTTATAACAGGTTTCTTTTCATCTTGCTGGGTCCTCATGGCAAAACCAAGTCCTACAATGAGACTGGCAGAGCTGTCGCTACACTCATGGTGGATGATGTAAGTACCTGACACCACCACACACTCGTACACTGTATTACATTTCTTACTTTGACCTTGTCTTTATTTCATGCCAGCTGTTCAGTGATGTTGCCTACAAAGCAAGAGACCGAGAAGACCTGATCGCAGGTCTTGATGAGTTTCTGAACGAGGCAATCGTCCTCCCACCAGGAGAGTGGGACCCAAAAATACGCATCGAACCTCCCAAGAAGGTTCCATCGGCAGAAATGAGGCATGTACACTCATAGCTTTATCAGTGGAGTGTTGGTGCTGTGTCCAAAAGGCCGTTGACATTCAGGAAGTTTTCACAATTGTTTCTCCTAGGAAGTCTGTGCTGAACCTGAGCGAGCTGGGTCAGATGAATGGCTCTGCTAGCAAGGCGGCTGGAGGAGAAGATGAAGAGCTTCCAACTCCGCATGAGCTCGGAGAGGAGCTGAAGTTCACTGGGAGGTATGGGAGCACTGGAGGGGACTACCGTGGTCCACTGGGTCCACTGATGTCCACGTTCTTACCGATGTCCTCAACCTTATTTTAATAGGATTGGTGGTGGATTATGGCTGGACATAAAAAGGAAGATCCCATGGTACTGTAGTGATATCTACGATGGCTTCCATATCCAGTCGATCTCTGCCGTCCTCTTCATCTACCTGGGCTGCATCACCAATGCCATCACTTTTGGAGGCCTGCTGGGGGATGCTACTGATAATTATCAGGTCTTCATAAGCCTGCTGAAAGACCACAAGACAATGAACCAGTCCAGAAAAGCTCTGGTCACATTACATCTGACAAAATCGGCTTCACAGGTAAACTGATGTTTCTCCGTCTGTCCCTTCTCTTTGTCTCAGGGTGTGATGGAGAGTTTCCTTGGCACAGCTTTAGCAGGAACTGTCTTTTGCATGTTTGGTGGACAACCTCTCATCATCCTCAGTTCTACTGGACCAATTCTCATCTTTGAAAAACTGCTTTACGAATTCAGCAAGTAAGTACAGATGTATACAGCACAGACAACCCAATAAAACATGATGTATGTACTGGTCACTGGAACCGTTTTCCTTCTCACAGGAGCAACGATGTAGACTACATGGAGTTCCGTCTGTGGATTGGCCTTCACTCCTGCCTACAGTGTTTTGTGTTGGTGCTCTCAGACGCCAGCTTCATCATCAAGTACATGACCCGCTTCACAGAGGAGGGTTTCTCCAGCCTCATCTCTTTTATATTCATCTCTGATGCCATTAAGAAGATGGTGGGTAGCAGGTTGTCAGGTGACATGGACGAACACCAAATGTTTCTGCCTGTCACACTTTCACATGGACACATCTTCAACATCTGTTAGTGCATGAAGCAAAAGGACAATGTGTGGAGATTATAGTTAGGTAAAGGAAAACATTCTTTGCTTTTCCACAGGTAGGAACCTTTCAGTATTACCCAATTAACTATGGCTTCAAGCCCGACTACATAACAGCCTACAGGTGTGAATGCATCGCTCCAGTCCAGGGTGAGACTTCAGACTCCTCTGTTTTGTATAAAGTTCTGTCTTCTGAGTCCTCTAAGGACTGAATGTGATCATATATCACTTGTTGTTTAGAGGTCCACTTTAATGACTAATTTGGTCAGTAGAATATTTAAAAATGGAGCTGTCAGATGTTAGTTACTATGCTTAAAGGAATGGTTCAACATTTTGGGAAATTTGCTTTTGTTTTGAGAGTCACATGAGATGACTAATATCAGTCTGGTGTGTGTGAGGATGAAGCTGGAGTCAGGAAGTTGGGTTAGGTTAGCATAAAGAACCAACACATTTGTTTTTAATCATACACAGGCTGAAATGTAAAACCTGTATATTGAAATGTTTCTTAGTGAACAAGAGCTTGGCTGCACAGAAGTGTTTAGCAGACGGATAACGTCATGTAACTCTCCCAGAAATCACTGATTGCTGGTTTTGCCTGTGCATGCAAGAAAGCAAATAAGTTTGTCCATAAATGTTGAACTGTTCAATTTGTTGAGATGTTGTGACTTGACAGCACTTGACGTGACACATGCCAAGTGTTGTGTAATTTACATAGTTTCTTGGTAGTTAATATTAATAACAGCTACAGCGTTTGTCGATTAATCATCATGTTGTCAGGATATCATTAGGTTGTAATGTCCACATAATGTTTAATTACAGAGATATTTCACGGTGATCAGATATTGTCATTACACTGTGTTGATTTGTGTGTCTTGTCTGTCTCTGCCTCATCTTTGGATGCTATCTAAAAAGTGAGTATGTATTCACAGACCATTGTAGGCCCTGCTATGTGCTAAAAAAGTAGTAATGTAGATGGGACATAGCCCGGGAAAACTGATGTTTACAAGGTAAAACCAGCATGACCAGAGCCATTACTTAACCTTTGTTTGCTTTTTCTGTTTTGTTTCTAGAATCTGCACTGAATGTTTCAGCTCCACTTGCAGAAGATAACATGACTCTGCCGGTAAGTGACAGAGACGCTTCACTCTGGAAGGAAGGTTGCTGCCGAAATGTCCATTTGTTTGGGGTCTGTGCTGTGTCGGTTGTCATCTCATGAAGCAGTGGTCGAAGCCTGACCTGCATAACTCCGACCCATATTTATCAAACATCTCAGGCCCTTCATTCAGTCCTTTGTAGAAGCTTCTTTGGCAGCAGTTACAGCTTCAGTGTCTACTTGATTTCACCTGGATCTGGGCAGATCCTGTTCTTCCTGCACTTTTTGTGTCTGTCTTTGAGACCAGAGAATCTTCTTCTTCATGCCCTGAGTCCTTTAAATGCTGCTCCATGTGGGCTATCTTGTCTAGTCCAGTGTGGTTCCTTGGAGTGATTCTGAAAAGTTTGGTAAATACAGACCAAGAAATTGTTTTGGTAAAGTTTTTATTAAGATGCCCATGGTAGAGCACCATGGCTCTTGTTTCTTTGTTCTGTATTCTCTCTTCTTCTGTTATTGCTTGTCTTTTTCTCTTGTGTCTACTTCCTCTACCCATCTTTCATCCCCCCCACACCCTGACTCCCATGTTCCCTGACCCCATGTCTTTAACTCCCCACCCCACCTGCCCTATGCTCCCACTATCCTACTCCACCCTTGTCCTGTCTTTGTAGTTTAACCTAACAGACCTTGACTGGAGTCGCCTGAGAAAGAATGAGTGTGTGAAGTATGGCGGCACGTTGGTGGGGAACTCCTGTAAGTATGTCCCCGACCTGGCCCTCATGTCCTTCATCCTCTTCTGTGGCACCTACTCCATGACCGTTTCTTTCAAGAAGTTCAAGTTCAGCCGCTACTTCCCGACAAAGGTAAGACGGCCTCACAACTGGTCCAAACTGGGTGGCTTTAACGCTGATAGGACGAAAAAGAGAACCTGCATGTGAATCTTTGATTCCTGTAATTTAGGGGGGAATATTTATTTTAGCATGAAGGTATACAATCCAAAGTATAACACTGGTGGTATTCCTTATTTCTCTGATTGTCAGAAAAGCAAAGACCCCAAATATTTATCAGCTTTTGTGTAAAAGTGCTGGTATTCTGTTGCAAGACAGAAATGTACAATCAAGGGGAACAAAACACGTAGTAGGTAAAACAGCTGAGACAGACAGAGGACAGGTGTCAGAACATGACTAACACATTGTCAATACTGAACAGAATATCACCAACCTTTTTTTTCAAGCTAGCGAACATCACTCCCAGCTTCAGCCCTTCCCTCTCCTTCTCCAAACCAGCACCTTTAAACCTCCGTATCAGTACCACAATGTCCTCTCCCATGTTCTCTGCTCTCCCTGAATGTGCTCCAGCTCCGTGCTCTCATCAGTGATTTTGCGATCATCATTACTATCCTGGTCTTCTGTGGCTTAGACTACCTGCTGGACCTGGACACCCCCAAACTGCACGTGCCCACTGAGATCAAGGTCCACGCTTCCCCGGATACCTTCTTCATTCCCAGCTTTTTGTATCACGTCTCGGATGCTTTTTTTCCCCCCTTTCCTTAAGGATGTAGTTTTTATACATTTCTAATCAACCTAGACTTTTTTGTATAGATATATGTAATGATTCTTTTACAGAGTATCTTCTCTTTTCTCCTCTTTGTTTCCTCTTGTATTTTATTTGTCTCCCTTCCTCACTGTAATATGCACATCTTTTGTTTTTGTTTGTTTTGGTGTGTGTGTGTGTGTGTGTGTGTGTTGGTGGACGTGTAGCTGAGGAAGCTAATCAGTGATTTTGCCATCTTCATGTCAATCATGTCCTTTGTGGGTCTGGATATGTTGATGGGGTTAGACACGCCCAAACTAATAGTTCCAACTGAGTTCAAGGTATTTGATTTGAATGCATGAGTTTATACCATATCACTGCACTGTGTGTCCGTTTGCATTTCACTGTGCACGCTGGTGGTGGTGCTCAAAGTAACTAAGTACATATCTAATAGCTACAGATACTGGTTATGTTTCATTTGAAGATTATAAAATTAAAGGATAGACCAGTGGTTTCCTGCCTTTTTGACTTGTGAATACAAAAAGTTTCACGTTTTAGATATTGTACGTAAAAGTTGTCAACACAGTCATTTACCTTGTGAATGCCTCAGGTGGGTTCATTTAAATAATTGTTTGAGGCCCAGAGAGGAAATAGTATTTCACACAAAAAAATAAAGTGAGAGAAAATTCAATGCAAAAGTTTTTTCCACTCTCTCCCATTAATTATCTCATGATCTTTATTGGTAGTGCAGAATTTTTACAGTCGTCTTTCTGCTTTTATTCAAGTAAATGATCCGACTAGTTCCTCCACTGCATGCTGCCATGTTTAATTAGCACTGTTAGCACTGCAGATGGCTGTACACACCCGCTCATCTTTGTTATATATTTACTTTTTTATTGTTTGTATGTGTCACCAGCCGACGCGTCCTGACCGCGGCTGGTTGGTGATGCCATTTGGTAAGAACCCCTGGTGGTGGTGTCTGGCCAGCTTTGTTCCCGCTCTCCTCGTCACCATCCTCATCTTCATGGATCAGCAGATCAGCGCAGTCATCATCAACCGCAAAGAAAACAAACTGAAGGTCTGTAAAGTCAGGAAAGAAAACCTTCTCAGAGGGATTTCATAGCCTAAAAATATCTAGAACCACAGATTCAATTTATATCAGACCTTTTTTTTCATGTCAACATAAACAACAAAAATGGTGGCGTCGTGAACAATATATGGTTTTTATATTGGAGAAAAGAGCTGCAGCAGCCACAGTTGTAATTATCATGATTAACAGTGTCAACGATTTAAGAGACCCCCTCATGTCAAGTTCAGAGAGGGAGCTGGAAGCTGTCGAGCTATAGCACAGAACATGTCTCTAATTATGATTAGGTGTTGTCTTCAGGTGTCAGTATAACAGACGGAACTTAACCAGTGGCTCTGGTGGTCCGCTTACACAAGTGTGATGTAGAACCTGAAACCTTCACAAACACTGAAGATGGACTTGTCACTGAACCAGGAGACCTCTTATGTCCAGCTTTTACAGTGAACAGTATTTACACAGACAGACACGTGGATGATTTCCTCTTCCTGTCTTTGTTTGCAGAAAGGCAGTGGCTACCACCTGGACCTCTTCTGGGTGGGTGTGCTGATGGCTGTGTGCTCCTTCATGGGTCTTCCCTGGTACGTAGCAGCGACTGTCATCTCCATCGCACACATCGACTCTCTGAAGATGGAGAGTGAAACCAGCGCCCCCGGGGAGCAGCCGCAGTTCCTGGGAGTAAGGTGAGACTATCTTGAATGAGCTTATCTATCTATCCTAACACTGTGTGAGAATTTCTTCCACCATCTACATTCGTAACAAACGGTGTGATTCTTCCTGTTCAGGGAGCAGAGGCTGACGGGCACTCTGGTGTTTGTCCTGACTGGACTCTCAGTCTTCCTGGCTCCTGTCCTCCAGGTCAGCTGACAGATGAAACTCATGCTCAAAGAGTTTACATGATGTTGCTTTCACTTTACACATACTGTACCTTTCAACTTCCTGCCGTTGTGTTAATTCAGTACATCCCCATGCCAGTCCTGTATGGCGTGTTCCTCTACATGGGAGTGGCCTCGCTCAGCGGCATCCAGGTAGGCTGGATTGTTCCAAGCATTACAGATTGTTGTTACAAGTCCACTGCATGGGAACTGTGATGTACTGCAGCTAGGCTGTAGTTATTATTATCATTATTATCATTGGTTGCTGATTATTTTCTTGATTAATTGTCATTATCTTAGAGCACAAGTTGAAGTTAACTGTGCTGTTGTCCGACTAATGGTCTGTAAGAAGTTAACTGTGCTGTTGTCCGACTAAAAGTCTGTCTTCTACACACCTTCACTTTACTATCACATAAAACCAAACAAATCTGAATATTCTCACATTTGAGAACCTGACAACTAAAATATTTTGCATGTTTGCTTAAAAAATGACTTCAATGGTTATTTATCGAAATATGATATATCAGTTTACTGTAAAACAAACATTTTCAGCAAGAATGTTTATTTGGTTAGTAAAGGAATGTGTAAAATTAACCGTGTCCTTGTCAAAACAATACAATTAAGTCCCAAGTTCATCTTCAAATAGCTTTTTTTGTTTGAACAGCTCAGAAACATTCAGCTCACTGTCACATAGGTGAGGCAGAGAGAAACAGGATATCTTCACCGTTAACAAGCTGAAACTAGGAATGTTTCAGGCCTTTTCCGTTGACTAATCACTGTATAGACCAGTCACTTTAGTTTTTAGAATAATCAGACTTTTATTTGAAGAGACTGGACAAAGAACCCCAGAGGATATTTACTGCATCTCTCTGTTCCAGTTCTGGGAGCGGATCAAGCTGTATCTGATGCCGCCCAAACACCAGCCAGACTTCTCCTTCCTGCGTCACGTTCCTCTGAGACGCGTCCACCTCTTCACCTTCATCCAGATCATCTGTCTGGCTGTCCTCTGGATCCTCAAGTCCACGTTCCTGGCCATCATCTTCCCAGTCATGGTGAGTGTCTTATTGTTTACCTTGGTCACTCGGTGTCTATGTACTGTATGAAGACAGTGACGTGTTTAGTTTGACTCCACTAGAGTAAGATTAGTTAGTTGAAGTAGAAATGTTAGTGTGCAGATGCTGAGACGTTCCTTTATTTTTTAAACACACAATATTAAACAAGATCCAGTGTTGGTCCCAGTACCACTGCCAGCAGACCAGGTCTGACTGGGGAGTGAGGACTGAAAGGAGCCAAAGAAATTCATTTCAATTCAGTACCCTTTATTTTACTTTATTTGCAGACAAAGCACACATAGACACCTCACACAAAACCAGTCCAAAAATACAAACATTAGAAAGAGTACACGAGAATGTGTAACGGCAGCCCGGCCACAGTACCGCAAAGGACAAACCAAGCAAACTGACCAGTTCTTGTTCTGCACAGTAGACTGAGTAATGATGTCTGTGTAGTGTAAAGCCGTGTTCCCACACTTTCAGCAGCTTGATCAGTTCTGGCGGTAACGGTTTGTCCGCTGTGTGTAGATTCTGGGTCTGATGGTCGTACGGAAGCTGCTGGATCTGATATTCTCACAACACGACCTGGCCTGGCTGGACGACATCCTGCCAGACAAAGACAAGAAGAAGGACGATGAGAAGAAGAAAGAGAAGAAGGTGGCGGAGCCAGAGCACGACGAGGAGGTGAGGGAATGTTGGCGAGTATTAACTGTGTGTTTAAATGTGTCACTCCATCTGCTGAGGGTGTTTCTCCTCTCTGTCCCACAGTGTTGCTGAAAAGGCACCGTATAACACCTGTTCAGTTTGTCACCACCTTTGTCCCCATTTGTGTGCTCACCTCAGTTCAAATGCTCTTTGTGAGGACAAGTTGTCGTCCACTAATGATCCTGATCACATGATAAGGCTGGTGTTAGTCTGTTTTTGTTATTGTCAACACTGCACTCTCCCATAGATCCAAAGTGTATTTATACCCTTTAGTACCATCCATGATTCTAGTCTGGTCCCTCACCACTATCAGGATATTGGATAATGCCGCTAATTTGCCCTTGTGAGTAAATGCTGTGACACAGAGGGACGAGAGAGATTTTTTTTTGACAATAACAAAGACACAGAACATCTCCATCCTCAGTCTGTCCTGCATGCTGACTGCTTCCTCTTTGTGTCACTCAGCCTAACAGCTCAGCCACCCCTCCGAT